TGTATATCAGAATTTATTGGAAAATCGGTAGTTAGATTAATTATAGTTTAGAGAGTTTTTGATATATATAATAATGTATATGGCTAATAATTAAAATCGAATCTTAATAATGTTTATATGAAATTAAAATATATAATAAATCTTGAATTTGAGTAATCGATTCTATTCTTGATAATCCAAGATTCTTGAATTATAATAAGGTTGATGTTAAGCTCTATTACAAACTATAGTCACTATAAATAAATAAATAAAATAAATATTACAAACTATAGAATATTCTCTATAGCTTGTAAGCTTTTATTAAGATTTATTTGAAGGATTCGAATATTAATATAGCTCATAAATTAATGTTATCTACTTTTTATTAGATTACTTAATAGATTTCACAGGTTTTTAAATTTGCTATATACTTTCCTTAGTAATTCAAGTATTTGGCAGCCAAGTGTTGATAGAATTTTCCTCTAATATCACAGACTACGCATAAGTATACTGATATTATACATTTGCCCCCACAGAATCCATAGAAGGAATCCCTTTTACAATATATATCCTAATATCCAAATCCTTAGCATTTTTGGTATTATATAATTGATTTAGATTTATAAAACTTTTCTACTCTTATACTAATACCAGTAATATATAGTCGTTTCCGAATAGTTAGTTTTACTTCTGATTTTATTGTAAAAGTAATCACTATTGCTCCTTCCCATTGATAAGCTCTTTTTGATACTAATATAAACCAAAAAGATGTTCCTATGGGCTTGAAATCCAGATTAAAGGTTTTGATTTCTTTAAGAATAAAATCCATTCCTTTTGATCCTGAAAATTCTTTTATAAGTATTTTATAAATAATAACTTTATACTATTCTTAATCTTTTTGAATTCTTTTGAATTTAATAAGATTACTCCAGATTGTTTTTTTTTTTAATAGAAATTATAATATAAAAGGAGTATTTATAATAATTATTATATTATTATTCAGTGATAGGGTTATTGTTACTATAACCAGGCCTTTGATTTCAATTTTCTGAAATACTTCGTTTATTTGGTTTTGTATTGATATAAGCAAGAAGGAGATAATATTCATAATCTTTAATTTGATTAGAATTAGACATCTTTGAATGATTTCAATCTTCTTATCTATTAGAATAGGCTTAATAGCTTTTTCTTTATTGATTAGATTCTATTCTTTTTCTTTTACTATAATTACATAATTAAATTTAATTAGTATTGTAGTAATTGGGATTAGATTTTTGGCTAATATTTTAGTTTACGATTCGATTTTCCGTATAGCTGATTCAAAATAAGTAATTTGAAATACAATAATATTAAAGACTATAGTAAACTTTCCCTTTTTAGTATATTCTCTAAAAATTTCAAAAAGATTTAGAAGCTTAGATTATTCGTTATATGATTGAATGAAAATGAATACTAATAATATAAAGTTTTTTGCTTTTAGAATTGTTTCCTTTAATATAATTGATTTGTTTTATATTCTAGATTGTTTATTCTAATTACTAAGGGATATTGTAGAGCCACATTTTTTATTCTAATTAAATATATAAATAATATTAATTATATCTTAAATAATAAAAAGATCATTAAATAAATTAAACTCTTCAACTCTTCTTTCAAAAACAATTAGCTGATTAATTAATAAAATAAAGCTAGAGATTTCGAATTAAAGGTTTTCAAAAAACAAAAAAGGACTTGAAGATATTGGAGTACCTAGGACAATAGTAGAATAAATATTTAGTATAATAAAGGTTTTAGAAAAAGCCTTTATTATAGTTATATTCCAAAGTATTAATAGATTATTAAGATAATCCATATTAGGAGTTATATTCTTATTTTGGAGATTTGGAGTGAAAATTTTATACGAATTTTCGTATGAGTTTCGTATTTAAAGCGCCGATGACAGTATCACAATAACTACTGGTCAGAATCACTTGGGGGCAATTGCAATCAATTTGGTTTAATAGCTAAGATCTAAATCGATCGCGAAAGGGTCGTATTTCGAAGAAAAAGTTTCCTTCGAAATTTGTTGTGTGACTTGTTAATAAATCATTTAAAGCTAATAATACGAAAATATAGATAAAGAATAGATACAGCAAAAGAGCCTTTTACAAGAATTCAGTGGTTCAGCCATTTCATTCCAGAAATACAATACTTGAAGTTACTCTACCCGTACTTCTCGATTAGCTGTAGAATGGATTTAATGAAAGAATTAACTAAAGAAGAAGTAGTTCAAGTCTTTAAAGAATAATGATGATAACTTTTACCCAAAGATTATACAATTTTTTCTAATAGATTAAAATAAATCATTAATTATAAATATTGTATTGATTATGGATATATAATATATCGTAATAACACTTAAATAGCCTCCGGATTTAAGTAGATCCAAAGCGATTTATATATATTCGATATAGAAGTAATAAAAACATGGCGTGGATTGGAGTATTTAATTACTATGCTTGAAGATTCCTTGAATAGCCGGATCTGGATGTATATTAACAATACATCGATCATCTGGGGTATATACGGAAACACATCGTTTATAATATAATGAGCCTTCTATAAGTATTATAAAGCAATAAAACAACTCGATATTAGAATAAAATGGTTATTTGGATATATGGAGATTGAAGACAATAAGAAAGCAAATCGCTTAGCAAACACAGATGCAATTGGGCTTATAGACCAGATAATCAACAAGCTATCAACAATCAATAGAATCCGAACAATTATCCGTTAGAAGCGCCTATACACAAAATCTACCTGGTGAAAAGAGATGAACTCCTCTCTCTCCACTAACTACAAGGAGTAGTCTCCTAAATATAGTACAAAGAAACTAAAGAAACTAACTCTACCAAAAGCAGTCTTATATTAACTAATAACTATAAAAACAGACCACAGCAATTATACCACTTACTATCAACAATTTGGTTATCAAAATAACAAATTAGACTACTTATACAACAATATTAAAGAATTATATTACTTCTTTAAATACATTATAAACAATCTAAAGCATTCAGATTAGCCTCTTGCCCCTATAGAAATACAATCTAACAAACAGATAATTACATATATCAAGAAACTTTTATATACACCTAACAAGCTTATTCAATTAATTACTAACTCAGAGTTCTATACTCAGATTTATCCTAACTATTAAAAAACTCTTAGAAAACGATAATCTTTTTAATAAAACTTACTACCCATCCCTTATAAACTCATCATTTAACTAATCATTTAAATATACTACACCTCTAAAAACCACAAATCCAATATATAATACAAAAATCCTACTACTTGATTAAACAAATAGTAACCCATTCTCATTTCTTTTTCTTTATTATAAGGATCGAAGTCTATAATAAGCCTATTTACCTGAAAACCAAGCTCTACTTCAATAATAATCTGGATCAGATATTCCTTTTTGGAAACAGAAGTGGATTGTACTTGTAAAGAAGCGAATAGCCCCTGGTATTGAAGTTAAATTGCTAAATTCGGTTGTGATGATTATACTATTCAAATAGTTCCTTATCTTAGCACATCTAAATACCCTTAGGGAGGTTCAAAACAGATGTTAATTAATATAAATAAAATAAATAAATAAATAAATATAAGTTTATATCGATTCGCTCGAGTTTCGGGATATAGAGTTAAATTATCCATTCTATGGATAAGAGTTATACAAGGAATATTATATAGTTAGAAGGCCTTTCGAAGATTTAGTTTTTTATTGTTTTCGATAATTTTAATAACTAAAAGCAAGTATGCTTCTTTATTGTTAAATTGTATAATAAATAATTAATAAATCGCATATTGAAGTTGATCATATTTATTAAGATGAAAGTGGTCTATTTAATGATATGGTCCACTCGATGATAAATCACGTTATAGGTATTAACTTTGCCACCACAGGGATTGTCGAGACTGGTCTGTAATCGTAGAGTATTCAAAACTTCGGGTTGTAGTTCAATAATAAAGATTATCAAATTCTCAAATCAATCACAGCATTCAAATCATTTGAAATATTATATTTCGTTGATTAAAATATTAAACTGTCTTCAGATTCCTAAATACTATTAGATATTCAATTCTTTGTATTATGATATTATAGTCCGGACTATTAGAATATGTACAATTTCTCTAAAACATACAAAGAGTACACACTATATGATCAAGCACTTTACTCTATAAATCCCAATAGTGAAGCTAGGTATTTGAGTTTATGAATTATTAATTGTATACTAGTATCCAAAAGACTAAAAAAAGGAAACAGATCATAGAGATACAGTTCCTGCGCATTTCACCGCCCAGGAGAATGATCAAAAAATATAATATGAAGCTGAAGACTTTGTATTCTGAGATTATCAAAGAAGCAATCTTCATGTACCGTTTCTTTAGTCCTCTCTGAAATATAGGCAAAACAAGACACATATAATCTTGGGTGGCGCAACATGCAACTGAAGCTGTAGTGGTAGATCATATTGCCTGATTCAGTTCTATTAACCCAGGGAACCCTAATTATCTTCTGGAAGGGGAAAAAGGAATAAGGATCCCCAGTTTGGTATTGAAAACTCAAGGATACTTTCTATACATATGTCACTTACATCAATTCCCGGATTCGCGGTTGAGGACCTACAAACATATTTAATTTTGAGTTGTAGTTATAAAGGGGTACTTCAAGTAGCCAGGAAAATTGAATGTTATTATTTTTAAAGAGAATATGGTCTGTAATTAATAATAATAGTATTTAATATTTTTAGATGCATAATAATGCATTAGAAATTGTATTACTCTAGTTATATATGAAAACAACCATGCTATAACATTCCTTTATATATAGCTAGGTTTAAACTTATCGAGGTACTTACAGATCCCAATCTTGATAAAAATACCCATCTAACCTCCCAATTACCTGTAATATCGCTCGACATTATATCAATTCAATCGGCCTCCTTTATTGAGCAGGCAGCCAAAACACTCTAGCCGAGAGCGATTCGGCTACGAGAGTATTTCCGCATCTTGCTTTCTTTTGTTTCGGTCAATTCGTATCGAACGCCACCAGGACCTTTAATGGTTTCGAAAGAAAATGACTTCAGAGTTACGTTATGGAAACAATTTGTGAATGGATATACAGAAGCTTCTATAATAAATCAAGTTAGCTGAATTTTGTTAACAGGCGAGGAATCAAAACGGGGCGATTTAGGGTAGTCCGGTTTGATATAGAAGCTAAAACCAATTATATGCACCCGTTGCTTCCATAAATAAAAGATCTTTAATTTATCAAGAAAGATTTTAATTTGAGAATATAAAATGAAAAACTTATTACTACCTAATTCTGCTTCTAACAATATCTCTAGAAACCCGGTATAAGATACAATTACTATCTTGTATGGTATATAGTATGAGCTACTTATCGAAAGGTCGCTGTTTCTGATATCAGAAATCAAGTTACGACGAATCAACTCTTACACATTTCTAGCAATCTTGAAAAGTGATTCCTTGATCTTAGCAGTCCGAGATAAATCTATATCTTTATTGTATTCCCATTTAGGCTTGATGAAGCTGAAGTCTATTTGGTCTCCAAACATTTCCTAAAGCTTCACTAGTGAAATGCTTATGTGACAGAAACTATATCCCTATTTTGTTTAAACAAAAATCAGTTAAGTTTCCGAAAATAATTGAAAATGCATATTTTCATATTACGAAGTGCATCCCAGGCCTGAATTTGGTTAGCTGGCTTATCCATCGAAAACTTCATTACATCTCTAAATGTAATCATAGCTGTTTCAATTGTGCAGGTCATTAAGAAGCAATAGATCCGCTTGATATTGCGATTGGAGTTAAGAACAGTTCTGACTAGTTCGCACTATCGTATGCCATCGAATGTGAGCTATGGATCACGAAGCAGGCAATGTATTTCAAGTTCTCCGATGTTGGAATATGCCTATGAAGTAGTGGTTAGTTTTGATTCTGGATTTTTATATATTATGGAACTTATTTGTTCATGTTTTATGAAATAAAATATTACAAAACGATCAGCGTGACCTTTTTTCGGTAGACTTACGTATCCTTCAAAATCATCTGTTAAAAAGGTAGATAATCGTGGAGGCATCCATCTAGATAAGTTTTGGTCTACATGAGACGATTCAGTTGTAGTGTTTGAATTCATAGCTTGTGTAGTATAAATGTATTTATCGTGATTTAAAATCCCAATGTAAATAATAACAGGGAAAGCAATGGAATAAAGGATTATTCTCGACTTTATTGATTACTGAAATATGTGTAAAGATTCTGAGATTATGCAAAGCCTAAAGATCCGAGAAAGAAGTTGAACTTTTATGTTAGTTACTAGAGTAAATTTGAATGTCCTTAAATAAACATAGATGTTAGTATAGCATACTCTTAGCGTTATTCGCTTACCATGGTTTCTGTATTGATGGAAGAGTATTGGATACCTAGCTACAGTATCATTCACAAAAAATAGAAGTAATTAAAATGAATACACTGAATTTCAGAGACAAACAATGCTGAGAATTTAATTGAATAGCAGGAGCTTTGTTGGTCTGGTATCTTTGGGGTAATGAATTTCTGCAGAAAACGTGAAATGCTTATTTACAAACATTTTCGAAAATTGCCTGAAAGTGTATAAAACCAGAAAATTCATGGAGCAAAAAATATGTGTACTGGAGAGAAATGATTCCCTTGATTTTTTTTTTAGATATAAAAGCAATTCTATAAGTACTTACTGTGTACAAAGTTTTATTGATAGAGAGTTATAATGTATAAGAACCCAAATGAACTTTTTATAAATGACAAATAAGCTCTCAACTAATGATATACGAAGTTCCATGTATAACGAAACCTAAGTATCCTAGTTTAAAGGGTATAAAATGAATCGGTATAAAACAAAAAGGCAATAATTGTCCATAGATCCTTTCATTTAGTTTGATCATAACAGGCTTAAAGCAAACACTGTCACCTTGCTCACACTCAGTTATATACATTCGGAAGAGGGAAATGATGATTTCATGGCGCAGAAGCGGACACTGGTGGCAAGGGCAACAATAATTATAGAAATAATTCAAATCACACTCTCAGGGAGGATTGACGTTGATCCTACCCTATCACTAGCTATTTGAAGTATGGAAGCATGGGGAATACAGCTAATTCAGTATTCAAGAGATATGGTGTTTTTTGTGATCAGTTGAGACTGTTGAGTGCTGAGATCTCAGTGTAGTTGAACAAATAAGATTGTTGTTTCTAGATGTTCACACAAAGTTTGACTTGTAGGGTTTGATTATTAGTTAATAAATTCTTGTAGTATGTATACAATATTAAGAGGACTGATATAATTTGGTAAGCAATTCATTAATATCATAGATTAAGATTTTGTCTATGTACACGGAAGTAGAAACAAATAGCTTCCTTCTTATAATCACATTGGGGAAAAGAACTATTGTTCAGAAAAAATCCCAATACTATATTGTAGATATGCTAAATAATAGGAAGTCAACAATCAGCGAAATTAAGAATGTTCTTTCATTGTATAAAATCTCTTCAGCTCAGAGAATCAAATTATAATCTCCACTACCAATTCTTGTTATATCAAGAGAGAGACTGTTTAAAGTTAATATCAATGCTTGTTTATCCCTAGTTTGTTTCTCTCTAAGCCTTGCAGTGCGCGCCTAATATTTCTGTTGATACGCTGTCTTCCAATCTGCAGGGTTTAGTTTATGACTATAGATATCCATTTTCTTGTCTGCGTTTGATCTGGCAGTTTTATCGGCAACGACAAGCGCATTTGTGTCCCCAAGCTCGCGACGTTTCATCAGATATTCCATGTGGTCCATTTTTCCCTCCTTCGGTCTTTTAGTTTTACACTTCTTGATAGCACCTTCCGAAGGCTTAGCTTTAGTGTTAGCGCTACCATTATTCTTGTTCTTTTCTTTCTTTGACTTTGTATTGGGCGCGTTTATAATGCTTTTGTTTGTTTCTTTTCGTTTGCGTTTCTTCTTAGTAGAATCCTCGTGTCTCATTTTGGAAGTATTGTTTTCCGGGAGGCGTTGCAAAATCTTCCGATTATTTGGTAATCTTGGTTCTATAAAGACTTCACCTTAGTTTACGATTTTTTTGCTTTTATTGATAACTTTATCGGTGGCTGATTGAAGTATTCGAATGGTGGGTTGTAATATGTGTGCTATTTCAGTTTGCTGATGAATTTGGCTAGTGTTGATAGATGTGTGTTGTTTGTGTTTCGTGTTGCGATTGTTCAAATTGTTTATAATTCCGCTGATAGGATAATCGAGACTTGATATATCAATATTATTATTTGTATAATTGTTTTTTGATTTGACTGTTGATTAAATGAAAATACAGATTTTATTAAAGTGCTCTCTCATCTGGGGAATTTTTAGAAACTTTAAGGGTTTGCAAGTTGATTTTGAGAGAAGCAATCTGAATTCTGTTGTTGTTTGGGTTGCGGTTGATATACTCTGCTTGTATCTGAACAAAGCTTTCTTTTATGTTCTGAAAAGGGAATATAGAAGAGGGAAATTGTTTTGCAAATATATTCATGATTATGTCCTAAGTGGTTATATGAGATGGTGTATAAATCTTGGATGTGTATGGTTGATGGCAAAGCAAGAAATAATTGGAAATTTAGTTTTATTTATAATTTGTTTCTTGTACAATGGCTTGCTTAAGTAAGTAACGGTAGTAAAACTTCCGCTGCCATTCACTTTCTACGTTTTGATACTGAGGATTTCGTGGCAAAATATGAAAACTAAACTGTAAATCTAATAAGTTCTTATTATAAGTGTAGTTCTCTCTTGTTATTAAGAGTTTGTCGATAGTATTGTATTTGGGGGATTACTGCTAGGTGCTCCAAATTCTATAGCAATCATTGATAAACAAACTCTCTTTTTGATCCAGTTGATTTAGAAAGTTTATATCGCCTTTTCTATTCTTATATGGCATTTGTTCAAAGACGAGAGATGAAAACCCATTTCATCTTTCTTATGTGACTATATGTCCGTTTACAGTTTGTGATGATTCCTCTGCTTAATGAACTCCATAACACTTCGCCTTTTCAAGGGAAAATACCGGTCAATGTATCCATGCTAATAAATAAGATTTCAATGTACTTCAATTTTACACAGTCTTGACCAATCCTCGCCAGCGCATAGTAGTGACCTGTGCTAGGTATTTCCAGAAACGTTTTGGAAAAGGTTCAATCACCCTCAATAGAGAACTTTGATGTGATTGATAGAATTCCAAGGTTGTGTGAATGATTATCCTATACCACTTCGAAATCAAAACTAACAGTAGTAGTACTTAGTATAAATAAGAAATTACTCGATCTTGATTCGATGTAGTCAAGATAAACTATGATGCTGATACATTAACTTCAATCTTGTCTGATCTTTTGATGTACAAAAAGATAAGCCTGTGAAAATACCTATACATCATGAATACATTAAATACTCAATTGAGGTACTAACATAGAAAGTGGAAATGATTTGAAGTTTTAATTAATTTCAGTATTATAAATGAATTCCTTGAATTGGTTTAGACATTTGATAATCTTCATTATCGAACTACAGTACAGACTATTGGATACCCTAAATACAATGCGAGGTTAGTGTAGAAGATTTGTAGGGAATGCATGGATTACAGTATCCTATTTCATAGGGAAGCGAAGTCAGCCTTCTCAAGAGGAACCTACATATGTACGCTCGAAAAGCATATTGTATAACAGAAGTAATCTATATTACTTCCTTAAAACGGAATTAAATAGAGATAAGGGAATCTCTTTATAGAGATATACTCTAAGTCCGGGGCTCGCTGTGAGATGTTAAGCGGTTTCCTCAGCTTTGTTTGACCCGATTGATCTAAATTCGCACATATATATGTATCCAGTAAAGGATCCATCTTCTATTGTACATATTAGATTCCTATTTTTTTTTATTTAGATATCTTTTATCAAAATAAAAAATCGCTTAAACAATCATACGTAAAAGTCAATGCATCTTTATAATCGGGGCTACTGGCTATATCGGTTTTGTTATCACTGAATTTGCTATTGCTAAAGGCTATGAAGTCTATGGACTTTCTCGATCTGAATCTAGAAACGCCAAGCTATTTCAAGTTAAGGCAATTCCGGTTCGAGGCGATCTTACCAACCTCGATATTCTCCGTTGCGAAAGTTCCGAAGCAGATATTGTTCTTCATCTTGCGACAGCTTATCATATTATTAATGCTAGTGTGGGCTATGATACTATTTGATCAATTGATAAGGTGGTAGTTGAAGCTATCGCAGATGGATTGGATAGTTCTAATAAACCATTTATTGTAACAGGTAGCATACTGTTTATCTCACCAAATTCAGATAATAACGAGACTACAAAGACTTCTCCAGAAGATCCGGAATCTCTTAATATTCGTTATCAAGCTGAAGCTTATGCTCTCAAACTGACAATGAGGGGAATCAGGGTTGTCGTTATACACTTAGTATTGTAGGTATTTGAAAGAGGTGGAAGTAGAGTTAAAATATTCATGAATGTCTCCAAGCAGGCTGGAGAAGTAACGTGTGTTGATAAAGGCAAGAATTGCACGATCACTGTTTATATTGATAATACTGTAAGACTTTATTTGCTAGCTATTCAAAATGCAAAATCGGGAGAAATGTTCAATACTAGCTCGGCTACTAATATTACCTTCCTGGAAATGTGGGAAATTATAGCCACAGCCTTAAATATACCATTGAAATATCTTTTCACAGAGGAAGCTATCGCTAAGCTAGGTCTTTTTTTGACAAAGTTTATTTCGATAGAGAATAGGGCAACGGAAACAAAAGCTAGAAATGTTTTGGGCTGGAAGCCCATCGGAATTAATATATTGAAGGAAATTCATTTGATTGTTTTTCAAGGCTAGTATATTCATTGCCTTCCCCGAGATACTGTAATTGAATAAGTTTGTTGAGTTTCTTCTAATAATAAATCAATTTGTTTTGAGATTCAGTAATGTATAAAAGCTAAAGGGTAGTAAGTAACAGATTTTATAGAAAAATATCGATGGTGAAATTAAGCTCTAGTATCTTGATAGTTTAAAATCTACCCAACATTCAATATTTCTATAATTCTAGGTGCCACGCAGTGTAAGCTAGCTTTTAGAATTATTACTGGGCAGTTTTTCTAAAGATTGAGATTTATTTAAACTATTTCCATAAGTGTTTATCAAACCGGTCCAGTTTCTATCACATCTGCTTATAAGCTGCTTGATTCTATACACAAAGATTTAATCGTATATAGTACTTTTAGATAGTGATGCGGCAGTTGTTATATAAGGCAAACTTCAAACATTAATGCTGTTGAGATATAAGTCATTTAATTCTAGTAAACGTATAATATTGACATTAAGTATAAGCGTTCTCTCATTCTCCTCTAGATCTACCTGTATTTCAAAGTATAAGCTAACCTTAAATTAACATCCCATCTCTACTCCAAAAGAATTTCATAGAAAATTTCTTATCCAATCGGTTGATTACGAAACTAATCCACCAAATCTGATATTCTGTGCACATTTGATAGAATTCGTGATCTGAGTTTATACTACAGTACTAAGTCCGCTCCATTTTCTACAGATTTAGACAATATTTCAAGATTGAGGATATTAACTATTAGAGAAAGGCAGGGAGACTGAGAAACGAAATACTCTCTTAACTACACATAGAATCTTTGAGATCTATAGTATTAAAACGCACCTGGTACTAGTCCAGAGTGAAGGAATGATATTCTCATTTCTTCTACTGACTAATTTCTAGATCCTTGTGTCTTTCGCCGATATTGTACTATTGATTTTTCTTTGCTTGAGCCAAGCAGCTGATTCACTTTCCGAGATCTGGTCTCTAAAATCAGTAGCATTCGAGGTTCCTCCGATTCGAAATTCAAACGCATATGATGGATTGCCATTTATGTCTCTTTTCTGGGAGAATTCACTTGTTCATGAGTTTGCTTTTTTCTTATACTACACTATAAAGAATCAAATAGCTGTCATAATTATACTAACGAACAATTGTGGTTAGACTTTAGATAACCCTGTATGTCAACAAGATTACTATATAGTAAAAGGTCGCTATATGTTTCTATCCTTAGCCTTGTGCTCAGAGTCCCCTGGTCTAGCATTCCTCTGTCATTATGTATTGATTATATAACATTTGTATATCAACTGGAACTAGAAGTTTTCATTTCTTTATATACGGAATTTTTGAAGTATGGATAATTAAAGCTTCTATAGTTGAGTAAGGTAAAGAACATCAAAACACCAAGCTTAGACTTATTAGATCGATTATATATAACGATTGAATTTATCTAGATAGTTCTTGAAACCTTATTTATCAGCAACTCTCATAGAGATTAAGAATTCATTTAGTAAATTATCTGGTATAAACTAGTTTAGATATTGGGGATAATATTCTGATTTATTTATTTCCAGTGAATTTTAAAGGTAGTAAAAGTAAAACTTTGATATTTACATTACTACTTTCAAGAATTGACAAGGTGATTGAATCTATATTCAAGGATGTATAAGAAGCCTTGTTGCTACTTGTATATCGCAAACTTAGCAAACTTGTTCCGTTTTTGTTTGTTCAGTTTTTGGGCTTAAACTTTGTAGTGATTAGTTTGTATTGACACTGACTTTTACTTTATGAATGGAGGGAACATTAGAGAAGTGTGATGGGGATATATAGAATCTTGGTCTTGATTGTAATAAGTAATAACCTTGATGCTTTTTTCACTTTCTTGAAGTATTCTTCAAAGAACCTTAATGTAAATATCGATGATAATAACTCGCGAACTCCTTTTTCTGCTAGTTTGAGGTTTTGAGGTAGTAGTTTGCTTCTTGGAGGAGAGTTCCAAGTAATACTAGTTCATAGAATTCGTTGATTTTATTGATAATTGTGCACCTCGATATTTGTGAACTTTGCGTGAAATAGACTCTGGCTGCGTCTAGCAACTATCTGGTGAGATTACGGCATACTCACCACAAAGTATTGCGTTCCTACTCTTGAAACCTATTTCTCTTCGCTTTTAAAGATATATTTGCTGCTAATGATTTCATGTACAGGAAAGCTTATGATAAAATAGCTTTGAGTGTTTCCCAGTAATTACTTTTTGAAATTACAATGAAATGAGATTAGAATTTAGCGCTACGAGACAAAGCTCTGATAAAGTTAGCCACACAAATGCCGAAGTCTAGGATTTGAAATTACAAGCCTGAATTACAACCACAAACAACAACAGAATATCAAAAGTAAGATATCAAACCTTGAAGAACTCAAATATTGTTTTTGCAATAGTTATAGCAAGGCTCAAAATACCAGATGCATTGCCTTATCCAAAGATTTCGAGTGTACATGTTTGAGAGCAACTGCCATAAGATTGTTTCGCCCTTTCGGAATCACTCCGAGCTTGCTTCTCTCAACACTGCTAGCCTCTTTTTTTGCTTTCTCTTTATCCAATCTTTTAGAGCCTAAAGCTTAATGGTAAAATATAGAATGAACAGATGATGGTATT